TTTCCGAGTTGGGAAAAATGATAATGTAGAAACAAACTAGGTAGATGTGAAGAGACTCTCAGATGGCACCAGACCACTGCAGAGTGGAAAACCTTTTCCAACTAACTGTTTTGAAAACTCCTTAATCCACTGAGAAGCCTCAAATGCTAACTTGCTATTCTATAGTGGTCAATGCCTCCGACTCTCACCTGCCAAGAATGGTGCAGCCCAGGTACTCAGTAAATAGAGAAGTGAGAGTGTGTGACCGCCTGAGGTGAGCCGGGTGTAGGGAGAGAGGACAGGAAGGTAAGAACAAAGAATGGATGATGAAGTCTGTATGAGTACAGCTTGAACATGCAAGAAAGAAGTCCTTGAATAAACCGCTTATTTCTGGAGAAACAAGATTACATCATTCCACTTACAGGAATGCCTTAAACAGGTAAATTCAGGAATGCAGAATAGAGCGTAGGCTGCCCAGCGCTGTTCAGAAGAAGGAATGCTGAATTCAGTTTAGTGGGCGTAGAGTTTTGCTTTGGGGTGATGGCAAGAAGTTTTGTGGACAGTGTCCCTTAGAGAGAACTAACAGCCTCTGATGCCCAAAGGCGGCCATTGCTTTACTTTTGTGCGGCCTCCGCAAGTTTCTACAAGGACAAAGCACTTGCATGTACATTCTTTCATTTGGTTCTCATAACACAAATTATACATGTCAGTGCTGTTCAGGCTCCACCAGCAGCTGGATCTTATGCTAAAGTTAGAAACAAAGCTGTCTATCAAGTGTTCACACATACACAAATGCCCATGCCTCCCATTTCCAAGCACTAGCTTGAATACTGCCTTCATCGGAGTGAATTAGGAAAGTTGCCTTCCTTCTTGATGCTCCTAGCCCGTGATGGATCACATTTCTGAAGACCTGGCCTCTGGCCACTGGTCCATCCGTGTGCCATGATATCATTCCTTCTACTGCAGTTCCGTGCAGCCTCAGGCAGCGCGCTGTGTCCTGCTAAGGAAGTGTTGTATTACACACTGCCTCTTCCTTTCAGAACACATTTCCTCCCATTCATGGTTGGCCCCTGCTGTGTCCTCTAGCTCATGCAGGTCTTCTAAGCACTTCTCAAGAAAGTTTCTCCCTGGCGCCTTGGATTTAGCATCTCTCCTGCCTCTTTGCCCCAACCCAGGCCCTATGGAGAGTTATCTGTAGAGAGGTTAATTTGTGATTTTGATCCTCTCAGTGGCAGATAGAATTTTTTTTTTGAGACAGAGTTTCTCTGTGGCTTTGGAGCCTGTCCTGGAACTAGTTCTTGTAGATCAGGCTGGCCTCAAACTCACAGAGATCTGCCTGCCTCTGCCTCTGCCTCCCAAGTGCTGGGATCAAAGGCGTGTGCCACCATCGCCGGGCGATACAATTTTCTTAAGTGAAATTTGGTTGAAAACTTTCAACAGTTGCCTCCTCCAGTCTGATCTTAATTAAGGACCTTCATCCTTCTGTGACAGCTCCAGATATCAGTGTGACCCCACACAGCACCTGAAGTTCAGGCCAGATCTCTGCCTCAGGACTAACTTTATCACAGAACTCCATTCTTTGGGTACAACCATCAATTTAGAGGAGGGAATAGAGTCTATATTGGTCCAATTGGAGTCTAATCCAGAAACTTTATTGGACTATTATGAATTGATTATAGAGCTAAGAACAAGGTAGCAGAGCTAAGAACTGGATCCTAGGGGTGCTAATTTAAGACCGGGGCCTCTTAGTTACAAAAGTAAGACTATTCATCATCTGTCCCTATTGCCCTAACACTTATCCCAAGAACGTTTACAGTGGGCTTTACACCTTAAACATCTCACTTCGTGCTAAACACAAAATGGCTGTACTGTAGCTACAACATGCTAATTTCAATAGCATAGTATAGTCTAGCCTTTTGTACTACTCTCTACTCAAACACTCTTATGACAAGAAATCACAGAAAATAAAACCTCCTTTTGTTTGCGAAAGTGTAGAGTCATCAGTAGGAAGAGATCAAAAAGTGACCAAGAGTAGTGTTCTGGAGAAAGTAAGATGTGCCCAAAGGTAGAGTTCAAGGGAGGCCACAAGAATGAAGGACTCGTGCTGGGTCCCTGCTTAACGGATGGGACTTCTAAAACATCCCGAGACAATGGAGTCATCTTGACATTCCTTACTGGATTTTCCCTCATCAAAATCTTCTCTAAACTCCCCAAATTTGATTCAGCTTTCTGAAATGACTAATTATCTATCTGTGTCTCCCATCAAACATCACTTAGCCTTCAGAGTGGGAGCAAATAGGGACATGCTCCCTGCTGCATGCCAGGCATGTTAAGTTGAATGCCAGAGCTTAACCAGACCTAAATGTGGAAGTTCAGACGTCCAGGGAACTGGGGAGTTGGACACAAGGCATCTAAGCAGGAAGGTAGTAGACACGGCACTTGTGTGGTGACCCCAGTGAGAGTGGAGGTCAGAGGACAACTCTGTGGCCATGTTTCTCACCTTCCACCCCGGGTAGTCCTAGAAAGAGGAAGCAGGTCCTTGGCCGTAGCTGCAAGCTCCCTTACCAGACGAGACATCTCCCTCACACTGGGTCTGATTTTAAATTCTTTTATCAGTACGACAAAGAACTCACAAAAATGAACCCTGATTTCCACATCTTGGGGATGTCCTCCCAGCTGTCTGGAGCCTTTACTTTTGTTCTACAAATATCTCCTATGTTTTACTTGAGGAAAAAGAAAAAGATTAGTTCACGATAGAATCCATATAACTCATGCTTTATTAACTAAGGGTAATGGGTGGTAAGGAAGTTAGACAAGGGGAAAGGTAACATTTGCTACCGAGCGTGTTTCCATACACTAGGCCTTAAGGGGAGTTCTGATCATTTCCCAAGGACAGACACCATGGGATATCTGCTTTGACTGCTGTATAACTCCTGCACACTTGTAAACTCAGGGACCGCCACCACCCTGCCCATCTCCCATGCCTCACTTCACCTCTATGGTGCCACCATCAGACAAACAGACTTTGAGACCTGACAGAGATACACCCTAGCTGTGTCTTGGACAAATAACTGTGCTTCAGTCTTCTCATCTGTAACAGGAATGGCAGTAACTTCATAACTAAATAAAAATAGTAATTTGAGAATCTTAGTACAGTGTATAATATACACAACAGCAGCTAAAATGTAACGATGCGCATTTACGGCATTTACGCCACTTCATGCAGATTAGCCACCTTAATGCAGGAAGACGCCAGTATCTCCTTCACTGAGCTAGGGTCATCACAACAGCTACTCAATGCTAAAGCTTAGCTGCCACACCATATGCCGTAAGAGACAGCACATGTCAGCCATCACGACTAGGTAAACACCTGGTTGTGTTTAGCGTCGGGAGGATGGCTGACGGGTGGTTTTCAGATTTTCTGTAGAAGGCATTCTGGGTGTTGAACTTGGTTTGTGCTTAAATTTGACAGTGGTAGAGAATGCTGCAAGATGAAGCTCATAGTAGTGCAAACCTAACACTCCCAGACACCATGACAACTCGCCCTTTCCTTAAGTCTGTGGAAAGAGTTCGTGGCATTGTTGCCGTAGCCTTGATCGGGTCCTGGACGGATCCGTGCTACTTCATAAGCAGCTTGCTCTTGCTGGTTAACGTTTCCTATTCTTCTTTCTACCCCTTTTCCCAGTGTGCTTTCCATAACACTCTGGCTTTCCTCCTCCTCCAAGGCTCCTCCCTGATCTGTGACTGACCTCCATGCAGACTAACGCATACAGCATGGCCGTTCCCTTTCTCTTCCTTATCTCCCTCCTCTGGCCCCTGTTGAGATTTACAGCTTGCCTGCACTGAATTGTTTCTCTTCTTCTTCTTCTTCCTCTTCCTTCTCCTCCTTATCTTTCTCTTCCTTCTTTCTCTTCCTTCTTCTCCTTTTTCTCCCCCTCTTCCTCCTCTTCTTTCTCCTCCTCTTCTTTTAAACACCAAGAAATTTGCCCTCGAGTTTCTGCCTGGGTCTGTTTTTAAATTCTTTTATTAATGAGACTAAGAACCAAAAGGGGAGAGCTCCATTTCCCCAGTAACAGGCACAACTCTGGCAAGATGCTCCAAAATTTCCAGAAATAGTATCACTGAGTCTGAGGGGGCAACATGTGTAAGGCTGGGTGACCAGCGCGGTGAAGGGGCATCCTGGGGAGGGAGCATTGTCAGACTTGCAGGCTTTTCAGCTGAAGACTCACACACATCAGACGTTCCTTTCCTGTCACATGAGGAGCCTGTATAATTTGAAGCCTGTGACTGTCAACTGCAGTATCTATTAGAATCACACAATGAGCCCTTTTATTCTTTTGTAAGACATGCTCTCTGGGTCTCCCCAGACTTGCTAGTCTAAGGGGACGGTGGAACAAGTTGGCATGCACAAGTCTAAAGCCTCCCCAGTCTCTTAAAATGTAATCAGGTTGGAAACCACCTCTAGGGTTCATCCAGACATAGCATCATACCTTCCCAAGTGCTTGTGTGACTGTCCTGGCAGGGATGAGGCCATTTAGAAGAAATGTTTGTGCCCCTCCTTTGCCTATCAGACTAATGACACAATGGGGAAACTCAGATTTCTCCAGGAATCTCATGCTGCAGAGAGGAGAAAGCTGGGGCCCTGATGGTGGCCAGAGTGGGAGCTTGACTCCCAGTAAGATCTCACAACTTGCCCGACTGTTCTGCAGGAGAGGTTGGAACTGAGACAATGGTGAATGGATTCTAACTGGGACCACACCCAGGCTGGGACTTCTTAGTTAGAAACACACACATACTTCTTGCCCTCTATTTAAACCTAAACTTCATGTCAAGGAGAGGGTTCTGCTGTATCTGCTTTGAATAGACCTCCCGTCTCTGTTTTTCACTATTTTCCATCTTTTTAGTTGGCCTACCGAGGATGGGTGGCCAAGCCTCTCTTGTTTAAGTTTCCAGGGCCCTGGCTCTGACCCTACCAATGCGAGTAACCCTGGCACATATAAGAAACACAAGAAACGAAATACCTGCAGCAGAATCTTATTGCCGTCATAGTCCTGAGTCTGCCACCTGGTGCTGCTGATGGGAACACAGGGATTTGGTAGAAGAGGCACCAGCTGGCCGATCTCTTGAACCTTGAACTGCAGCACGGAAGACTCTTTGGGATCCACTGGCATTCCCAGAGGCAGCTGCTTCAGAGAGAGCTGCAGGCTGAAGTCGTTGGTGGCATAGAGAACAAAGACACAGAAGTTGCTCTTCTGCACGGTGGCGTCTCTCTGCAAGATCATCTCGTACAGCCTGATGGCATCCTCGTAGTTATCAAAACTGCAATACAGAGTCACTCTGAGGATATCAGTACCACAATGCACTGGCCTTATGCCCCACACTGGCATCTGGTTGTGCAGGCTGTAGAATTCCTGGTTGGCAGGGAGATAGCTCCCCTGTGCATGCTGGGTAGGGAAACCCTGCCAGGGTGAATGCTGTAGGACGTCCAAGACTCGAAACAGCCGCTCCTGTCCTAGGCTTTCCTGAAGAAAGAGCGAAACAGACATCCCTGGGAAACGGGCCCTCCGGGGGTGGTACCTTTCATGGTAATTCACTGGTCTGGCCCGTTCAGATACCAGGAAGAGACGCACCTCTGGGCAGATGCAATCCAGGAGTTGGTCCAGCGCCTGCTGCAGAAGCGAGCCGTTCCCAGTGTCAGCAAGAAGATGCACAGTCAAGGTTAGCGACTCCTGTGTCTTGTCCATGGTATGCCTAGGTGAGGATGATAATGAAGGCCACCCAGCAGGGCCCACCGTTCAGCCTTCTAAGGCGAACCAAGGCCTTCCATGGAGCCCTCTACATAAACTTCAGCAACTTCTGAACCAAGCTCTGAGCCAAATCACACACGCTCCTGGCTTCCTCCAATGTTCCAGCAGGGAATGTCACTCAAGTGTGGACTTTGCTACACACAACAGCAGTAGCTCCTTGTCATCCGGTCTGGGCAGAGGTAATATTGGCTTGGCTTTTTCAGGCATTCCCTGGAGTTTCTGTTTGACCTAAAAACCTATAATGCTGAGAACCACCCCAGTGGGTGGGTCTTACATTCAACTCAGTAAAGGAAATGACCAGGCGGAGAGGAATAGGAGGCGGCTCTGTTGCGCTGATAGCCATCTGTAGCTCTGTTACACTGAAGAGACATCCATTTGGTGGACCACAATGGGCGCTGACTTCCTCCTTAAATACCCTGATGTTTACAGTGGCCTGCCAGGCCACCTGAATAGAAGGCCTTTTTTAAAACCCTCCCAGCCTTGTCCCTTTGCCAGAGCCTTCAGTACCCATCTCTTCTGTTTCATTTTGACCATTTTATACTAGGTCAGAGAGAGAGAGAGAGAGAGAGAGAGAGAGAGAGAGAGAGAGAGAGAGGAGAGGGGGAGGGGGGGGGGGGGGGGGGGGGGGGGGGGAGAGAGAGAGAGAGAGAGAGAGAGAGAGAGAGAGAGAGAGAGAGAGAGAGAGAGAGAGAGATTTTGTCTCTGCAGTGCCGGCCTCCTCGAGAACTGTTTGCCTGACTGAACTATGTCTGGGTGCACTAAAACAACATTAAAACAAACTAAGTCACCTTTGGCTGGTGCAAATTTGTAGGAAGTGAAATTTCCTATGTCAGTAATTATTATGTCTTCCTATTGAGGATCTGTTGATAAACTGCCCTAAAACTTTAAAGGAATTGAATTAAGCAGCCAACAAACCTACAAAGAAGAGAGTTTTACTCCCTGCTTTGCTGACAACAAATTGAAGCATAGAAAAACATCGAGGAGTGCCCATTGTGTGCCCAGACTCACACAATGAAGTGGCCGAGGGAAGATTTGAAAGATCAGCAGGGCCCACATGCCATGCCCCCTCTCTAGAGCTGGGAAGGCCAGTCACAGTTTATTGCTTTGTTTATTGTTTGTTTGTTTTCTTGAAATGAGGAAAAGCTGCCATGCTAACTTCTAGTCGGCACACTTCTCTGTGGATCCAGGCTGTTAAATCTTACACAGAACATCACACAGTTGACATCATCACCTAGTCTGATCCTGAATCCTTTAGTAGTCAGGCATAGAAACAAATACTTGTAATCCCACGATTCAGGAGACTGCGACAGCGGGATTACTGTGAGTTCAAGGCCAGTTGGGTTAGTAGAAGCCAGTCTAGGCAATATAGCAGACCTCCATCTCAACAAAAAACAAACAATGCTATTAGGATAGCCATCTGCCAGTGGGCCTGTGTGTGCCCCGTGTTCTAATGTGAATGTGTTCAAAGGGAAGGTATGACGCGGCACTGAATCAGCGTGTGTAGGAGCTTTCTAATGCACAACCAGCTTTAATGAGAGCGATAACTTCTTCCCGCTTTACGTCTTATATTCATGGCTTCCTTCAGTAGTGTGAAAGCTATGATCCTGGGCTTTGATCATGGGCTGGAGGCTCTAATTCTGAAGAGACACTTTGCTCTCCATAACTAAGAATGGAGGGGTGGTGGTACGCCTGGGAAAGGACCAGTCAGAGTCTCACAGCTGAGTCTACATATCTTCTGGTTCCATTTATAGCTCTCTTTATACTGTAAAAGTCTCACAGATATATGGAAGAAGAAACAGATTCCTTCTGTCCCTGACTTGCCCAAACAGTCAATTAACCCATTTTCTTTTTCTAACTTCTGTGTCCTAATTTTTTGGACTACAGGGAAGCTGGGGCAGGGGAAGTTATGGACCCGATCTCTTGGTAACAGTAGGATAACCACATTTAAAGTCTTCAATTAAAACTTCAATCCGTAGAAAGGAGTCATCTCCGTTGACAACCTGCCCACAGTTTTCATCGATTGCGTTTTATAATCCTAAAATTTCTGTATTAGAAAATTTATAGGGATATAATTTGTAACTGACAAATTGTTTTCAGATTCATTTTGCTTTAACTTTCTGGGAATTGTTAGAAGGTTTTAAAAGAATTACAGCTCTCAAGCTTTTTTTAAAAAAAAAAAAGCCTCTTAATTCGTGTCACATGCTGACATTTGAAAGCAATAACTCTCTTTCCTTAGTATAAGGCCCTTTCCTTTCCCACAACCTTTCTCTTACAGAGTCGCTCTTCTGAGTCACTTTAGAGCAAACCCTGGATTTTGAAAGACCTTTTGAAATTCTTAAAATAGCATAAATAACTCTACATGTTTGAAGAGAAACTCCCACCCTTGAGACAAAAGTATTAGCTCTTTAGCCGTCAGCATTGTGTCTAAGGCCCATGTTAATCATCTCACACGGGAACAGGTTGTCGAGCCTTCCATCCAACATTCTTCCTCCCTCTTGGGGTTGTCATCTATGGCTTTGTATAAAATATCTCTTTCATCTATCTGTTGGCAGCTAAAGTGCCAAGCAATTGCAACCAGGAGCAGTGGAGGGGGTCAGCCAGCACCTTGACGGACTGACTGTCTTTGCCCTTTCTTCTCCTGGAGCAACGTGATATCCTGACCAACCATCCCCCCCACCCTGTCACTGCCTCCACCTATGCTCACCCTCCCCCACTTACAGCAAATGGCAGCTTCCTAATGCCACAGTAAGTTTTGTTTTTTTTGAACAGTGCTCCTGTGGAAAGCACGGAGGGAAACATTCAGGACATCGTCACCTGTGACTTGCTGATTCCGAGTCTCTATCTTATTTTCCCTAAACTTGGAAGCCCTGACCGGGTTCCTGTCGGCTACCAGTGGGGCTACTCTTGACAGCAAGGCGGAAGCATTGGTGACAAGACATCAACCTCTTAAAATGTGTCGGGATGCATGAGACTTGCCGGATTTGTCCATTCTGTGAATCTCATAAACCTAGTGTGAGACCCTAAAACCCTGAGGTTCCCACTCCCACACCCAGGAAATCTTTCAGAACATTTCTTTCCACCTTTACTATATCAAATATGTTTATATTTCTAACACGTTGAAAAACTGGCTCTTCCCCCAGAGTGGAGGACACAATCATCCAGGTCCCATTTCTCCCAGGAGAAGTGCCTGACTGAGGCTGTTGGTATCATGATCAAGGGCACTGCAAGTTGTCTAGAAGATCTGTGGGAGGAGATGCTTGGTGTGGAGGAGGAAAGATGCTACTTAAGTCTTGATAAGTGAGAGGGAAGGATTCTGGCAGGTGGGGAGGTTGGGTTTGGACTGAGGGGCAAGGAGCCTGTGGGAAGAGGGTTCTCAGAGAAGTGGCCAACTGGAAGGTCAGACATCTCACTCCAGCTGGAAGGAAGGCAAGGGCCTTGTAAGCACAGTTTGAGCTGTATTGATTACATGGACAGGACCGTAGAAGGGCCATCTTGGACAAAAGAGATGTAAATACAAGATCTCATTATGTAGCCTGTGTAGCCCAAGATACCTCAAAGTTATAGTCCATCCGACTCTGCCTCGCAAGTGGTGGGATTACAGGTCTGTGTTACCCACTCCTGGCCAAAGAGTTGTCTTGAAAAAAACACGAAGCCATGCTTTGAGAAACTGCTGATCCAAATGCTGTATGGAAACCCAGTGAGTATGCTTGTGATCTAGCTATCATCCAATCAGGCTTCACACAGTAGTGTCCATGGGTTTGGGCGAGGCTGTCAGTATCAAATAAGGACTAAGCCAGAAAAGGAGCATCAGGTAGAGCATAAGGTACATTGCTTGAACACACTGAGAGGATGTCCATTGGATTCAGAGTAGAGATATCCAGTACCACCTTGGAGTGTAGCAGCAAACCAGAGACTACGTGCTGAATTAACACGGACCGACCTTCAAGTCTAACTAACAGAGATTATGATGGGGATGGAGCAGAGAGGAGGATGGGCATACTCCATGAGACAAGAGACATTTATGTGGTACCTGGTGACAGAAAAGAGAATGGGATATGCTGTCCTAACTGTGTGGTGCTTGGGTCTTTGGTCACAAGATTCCAGGACATGGCTTTGAGTGGCAGATATTGTCACTTAAGATACTGTCACGATTGTGAGGCATTCCTCCTCCTCCTCAATTAGGACAGCTGAAAAGCAGAAGCCATCTCCCAGCAGACTTCAGACCCAGGTAAATCTGCTCCCCACTGGCAGCATCTGAAGGAACATTGGTGGGGAGGGCCACCTCTCTCACATGGTTACTTCCTGCTAGCAGCCTCTCACTCTCTACCCGTGGAGCGGGCATGGCAAAGCTCTGTTATAGATACAGGGCTCTTGGCATCTCCTAGAAGGTGAGACACCTTTGCTTGGAGTGAGGAATGTTATTGTCCCCACAGAACTGGCTGTTGACAGAGCCTGAATTTCTGGTTTTAAACCACATCTGAGGGAACCTGTGCAGCAACTGTGGCTACTCAGGTAAGTTTTGGGACTCCAAGACACATTTCAGAAGGGAAAGGAGACACAGGAAGAGGGATTATTTTTAGATTTGATCATTGCCCAGTGCTCCAGACCCCTCTAAGCATGTGCTTCCTAACATGCAGCATGCACACACTCATGCACTCACACATGCACTTGAGTGCTCACACATGCACACATGCCCACACATGTGTCCATGCATCCCAGCTCCTGGTTTCCTGGGAGCCCTGGCAGGAATAGCAGCACAAAGTGATGGAGACTCGGCTATGCCCACCTTTTAGGGCTGTACTATAAGAGAAGGCGTGAAAATAGCTACCATAGGCATCTTCCCCCAGTCTTGGCTCTACTGGAAACCGCCCTCCCAGCTCTCCAAGGAATACTTCCTGCCCAGTCCCACACAATGCTATCGGGTTCCTAGCAAATTACCATCTGTTTCCCACTTCCCTGAACCCTGCGTGGTTGATCCCTGGCTTTCATGGCTACAAACAAAGACAATGAGTTTCCTCCTGGCCCTTTGTTGTGTTCTGCTGTGACTTCACTTCCCTTAGCCCAGCCAGTTGTAGTTCTGGCCTATAAAGCAGGGAGCCAGAGGCCTGGCCCCTCCCACCTGTCTCTGCAGTTCCAAACCCCTCAG